AGTCATATAGATGGTATTATTATTAGTTTGTCGACTCTACGCAGCTACCTGAGGTACATAGTTGAAGATGGGGCATGTATGTGGAGGTTCTCAAAGGGAGTTCAAAGTATCTCGATAATTCAGAAAAAAAATTACTCAGAAAAACAGAAAAAATTATTCAAAAAAACAAACCAAAAAATAAATTACTCATAAAAAAGTTTTTAAAAATCTTTTTTTTTCAAGTGAATGCAATACGCTTCCGTAAGTAATAATCGACATAAATTACTTGCATTTAATCAATAGCTAGGTAGTTAGCGAGCTAACAGTTGCTAACTTAAGATGCGACTATATATACGTCGTTTTTATCTTTTTTAATCATTTTTAAAACTTTGGTTGTCACGTAGCGAATCTGAGTCACGGAGACCGTTGACCGAGGTGAGCTCTACTGTTATTGGAGCACAGAGCAAAAAGGGGCGGGGCTTAGGAAGGGTCCATTTAAAAAAGGAAGCATGTCAATCTTCTTCAAATAGCCTTTAACGGTATATTTGTAGTACAGCTACAATAAAAGATATATTAAGAATAATGTATATTCTAACAATTACTATCTGAATAGAAGACAGGAAACCTTTCTGGCTTTCAGGGGCTCCGTACTTTAATTTATTTTTATTAACTCAAGGTTGACTTCCTGTCACTCTTCATCAGTCACTCCTCCTCACCCTCTGCATGTTTCCAGGTTAAAATATTGGATTATAGTAATCAGTCTAAGTCAATATCAAACATGTACCTGGAGCTGTAATGTGAGTAACTACAGGATCTCCTCATCAGGAGAGTCTCGAGTATCTCAGCAGTTCTGATCTTCACACTATGGAAGCCCATTTGTGCCAATGTGACCAATTCTGTAAGTCAATTTAATGAGAAAGTTACTCAAAATAATCACTGAGTATCTTTAAATAATGACTGTGAAACTTACTTAGTCATCATTCATTCATTATTTCTCATTGTTCTGAAAATGTTTCTCATTATTTT